GTAGGCTCAGTGGCGCAACCTATGCAGTGTAAGCCCTAAGCCTTCCCAGGCATGGGCAGTTGTCAGTAAATTCTACAAGCAAAGTGTTTTTGGATACTCAGGACCTCTAAGATGCAATACAGGCTGAGATCGTAGCCAAGGAACCTTCGCAGCTTGCAAGCCTTAAAGCCCTCACCGCCTTAAATCCCAAACCCTTAAACTTATTAAGCCCTAAACCCTAAACCCTAAACCCTAAAGGACGAAAGCCCCCAAACCCTAAAGTCCCCACACCCTAAACCCTAAGCCCTTACAAACTTGGGGGCGGGCTCCCCCTACACCCTAAACCCTAAACCCTAAACCCTAAACCCTCAGCGATGAACTCGAGATCTGCAGGATATCATGGATCGGCGGGAGATCCGCGCCCTGCGGGACGAGATCAAGGTACTTTGGGTTTTGGGTTTCAAGGGTTTAGGGTTTAGGGTTTAGGGTTTTGGGTTTCAAGGGTTTAGGGTTTAGGGTTTAGGGTTTAGGGTTTAGGGTTTAGGGTTTAGGGTTTAGGGTTTAGGGTTTAGGGTTTAGGGTTTAGGGTTTAGGCGGATTTAGCGTTTAGGGTTTGGGTATAGGGTAGGTCGTTCAGCACGGCTTTAGTCAGTTGGTACTGTGGGCTTAGGATTTTAGGGTTGTCGGGTTTAGGGTTTCAGGCTTAGGGTTAAGGGTGTGGGGTTCAGGGTACTGTCGGCGCCGAGGCTTACCAGAACGCAGGGCTACAGGTTTCGCTGGGGGTTTCGGCTGTGGTGTTTACTTCAAAGTTCTTTCGGCTTAGTAAGTCTACTTAGTATCGCCTACATAATTCCCGTATCCCCACCTTACTAACCCACTTACTAAGTCAAATGGTCGCTGGGGGTTTCGGCTGTGGTGTTTACTTCAAAGTTCTTTCGGCTTAGTAAGTCTACTTAGTATCGCCTACATAATTCCCGTATCCCCACCTTACTAACCCACTTACTAAGTCAAATGGGCTTCTAAGTGTGGTCCAGGGTATGGAGGTTCTGTGCTTCAGGTCTAGGAACTGGTGCGAATCGTGCTTGGTCTGCGTATGGCTCTTATCCTAGATATAGGCCAGCAGGCCCCAAAGAAAGCGAGAGGGGTAGGCAAATTCCCCTAAAACCCTAAACCCTAAATCCTCTGTATGTTGGATCAAAGGATCAAGTGCGCGGGATTAGGGGTGCGGGCTTGTTTTCTTCTGTCGGTGCTAGTAGTAGGCTTTTAGCGCTCTAAGGTTTAGGGTTTACGGTTTAGGGTTTAGGCGGGGGCTGAAGTGGTGAAACGCCAAAAGCCTAAAATCCATCAAGCCTTGCAACAACCGGATCCGTGCGATGCGATTCCCTGAACCTAAGACGCTGAACCCCACAATCCTAAACCCTACAACCCTAAGACCTAAACCCTAAATCGTAAACCCTAAGACCTAAACCCTAAGACCTAAACCTTAAATCCTAAATCCTACGCCCTCACGTGTGCCGGCAGGAAAGTCAGGATGGGAAGCCGCTCAGCTACAACCAGGAGGCGGAGTTGGAAAAAGGGCCGGCCCTCACGCCAAAGGACAGGGTTTAAGGGTCTATGGTCTTTGTCTTTGTTTAAGGTTTTTAGGGTTTTGGGATTAGAGGGTATAGGGTTTGGGGTTAGGGTTTAGGGTTTAGGGTTTAAGCGTTTGCAGCATTGTATGCAGTTGTCAAGGCCTTGGGCTAGGGTTTTGTGGAGCCCATACCCTGCTGGGGCTATTTCCATGCACGTTAACCCCACCCCTCAATCTTGCACACGCTCTACCAAACCCTGAACACTCAAACCTGAACACCCATAATCCCATGAGTCTAGAATCCCTAAGCCCCTAAACCCTTATCACCCTAAACCCCCTAAACCCGAACCTCCTGGCTAACCACCTCAAACCTGAACCCGAAGCCCGAAACTGTAAACCCTAAACCCTGAACCCTGAACCCTCAACCCTCAACCCTCAACCCTCAACCCTAAAACCTAAACCCTAAACCCTAAACCAAACCCCTAAGCCTCGGCAAGCTGTTCCGCAGTGGGCGGAGGACCGGCTGAAGCGCTGGGAGGAGATGCTCGAGGAAGCCAGGCAAACGCCTGCACCGTGTTTAGGGTTTGGGGTTTGGGGTTTGGGGTTTGGTTTCTCCTAGTAGCTGAATGAGTACACTGTTTTACACTTTTTGGGATACCATAGTTCCCTATAGAACTGAAAGTGTGCACTTTTTCGGGGGGCTTATGAACTCAGCAACTAAGTACTCTACAAGGGTTGAGATTTTAGGGTTGAGGGTTTAGGGTTGAGATTTTAGGGTTGAGGGTTGAGATTTTAGAGTTGAGGGTTTAGGGTTGAGGGTTTAGGGTTGAGGGTTTAGGGGTTAGGGTATTCATGCCCTTGCCCTTTCTACTAATTGCCCAAGAGCGCAACGAACTCAAGGTAAAATCCCTATATGCCATTTATACGTATTTTTGTTATATACATATGTATATATATATATATATACATATATATATATATATATATGTGTGTTTATTGCGAGGGTTCTTAGGAAATAGTAATAGCCTTTTGTTCCGGCAATGAACTTCCTTATTCTAAATGAGGTGTTACATTCTAAACGAGATAATCATATCATGTTCAAAAGAAGGTACTTACTTATCCCCAACAAAAAGTACGGTAGCAGCCTCTACATTGGTTGGTTATGGGGTTTTGGTTGTGAGGAGGGCGGGGGGAATGAAGCGAGTAGGTAGTAAGGCTTCGGGCCTGGGAGGATTTACACCCTAAACATCCCTAAACCCTAAACCCTAAACCCTAAACCCTAAACCCTAAACCCTAAACCCCCTACCCCCTAAACCCCAAACCCAAACATCATCTTTGTAATAGTGCGTGGAGAGTTCGGCAGTCCGACCTTAGGGAAATTTCCTACTAAACTCGCAGCACTTATCTTGAACCCTAAACCCTAAACCCTAAACCCCTACTAAAATCGCGAATTTTATCTTGAGCCCTAAGCCCTGCTGGTCGACTGTGGGGGGTTGGGAGAGGGGGAGGGGGGGTTGGTGCGCTGATCTGTTTTGAGGGTACCCCATCTCGGAAGGGGAAGATAGGGTTTAGGATTCCATCAGGTTTAGGGTTTAGGGCTTATAGTCAGATGTGAGGACTTCCCAAAACGAGGTACCAATCTCGTGGAGTCCTCATATCTGGGATGAAGCTTTTTCGGTGCTTGTAAGGGGTACCCTCCCCTTCCCCCGCACCCTTGGGAAATGCCCATAATATCAGCCTTGGCACCCCAACCGGCGAATTTTGACTTTTAGTTTGTGTTTACACTTCCCTTAGGCTCAAAATCGCCCCAAAAACCTGATATAATTGGCCCTTTGGGCACAAAAACCCTTGCACAAAAACCCTTAAACCAGCGTCCTTGGAGCGGTCTAGGTTAGAGAACACTACCGGCCTCGACATTTCCCTCTTGCTTTCGGTTGGCACGGGTATGGGACACCTCAGTAATAGCCGGAGGCCACAGTAGGGTTTAGGGTTTAGGGTTTAGGGTTCAGGGTTTAGGGTTTCAAGTGGATTTTGGGCCCAAAGGGCTTGTTATATGAGGTTTTTTGGCATGTTTTGAGCTTAAGGGCAAACCTGAATCCCCCAAAACTCAAAACCAGCCATTGAGGTCGCGCTGACCTGACGGCTTGTCTGAGGGCAGCGGAGCAGTAAGGTTTTAGGTCTTCTCCCGAGGCCGGAGGGTTGAGGGTTTACTAGACTAACCCAATGTACCTACAGCTTGAGCAACAGCCCCATTATTAAGACTATGCCCTCACACCCTGTTGGGTAGATTCAGGGGCGAGTTTGGGACAACAACCCTAAACCCAAACCGACAAGCCCGAAAAGCTTGAACCCCTAACCTGAGCCTGACAACCCCACTTCCGCACCCGCAGCGCGAGCCAGAAACAACAGGACCATGCAGTCGGCTGGTGTACGTGGTTTAGGGTTTAGGGTTATAGGAGTTAAGGGTTCAGACGCCTGGGATTTTGGGGCTTAGACCCTACTGGTAAGAGGGTTTAGGGTATATAAGTGTTTGGTGAGAGAGAGGAGATGGGAGATGTAGGCGCTAAACCCATCAGTGGCCGTACCTTCACGCTTTTGCTTACCTTCAACTTCTGTCCTAATCCCTGAAGCTTAAACCTTACGCCCTATAACTACCCCAAACCCTGAACCCCTGAACCCTATGCCTAAACCCTAAACCCTAAACCCATAGCTTCTTAGGTTCTCCGTTGAGAGCTCCTGCGAAGCTTCAAACAGGGACCCCCAAGAAAACGAGCTGGCAATAGATCACGAGGCAGGTTCGGAGTAGAGTTCGCGTGTGAACCCAAAGAGCTAGGGTTTAGTGTTTAGGGTTTAGGGTTTAGGGTTTCGGGCCCAATACCCCTTAGTTAAGGAATAGTACCTTCAATCATATTATAGGATCTTCATTTAAGTCATGTTCCTGAATTAAAGGGGGTATTTGGGCTCTCTGGCAAGGCTCAGCACTTGGGGGCTTTGGGTTTAGGATTGCAGGCAAGCCGAATCTTACGGCGGGCCCGGCTTTGTTTTCGGCTTTGGGGGTTCGGATTTGGGGACGATGAATCTTATCCCTTAGGCTCAAACTAGCCCAAAAACGTTATCCATGAAGGCCTTTGAGTCCTTGGAGCCTTAGGGTTTTAGGGTTTAGGGTTTAGGGTTCAGGGTTCAGGGTTTAGGGGAGCTTGGCTACATATGTGTGCAACAAGGTTGGGGATCGGCACAGCGCAGCTCACATGCGACCCCGGGCTTGCTCCCATGCAGCCATATGTCTAGAAGGGTTCTCTTCCGCCTTCCCGTCAGATGCGCACAGTCAGGGGTGGTGGACAGAGATCTTCAGCGAAGTAGCGCGCCTTTCAGTCAGTAGAAGTAGAGTATGCCATAGAAGAGAGTGCTTGCAGTGAGAACTCGAGCAAACATCTGACCTTACTCCTGAGCCATGAACGCCACGAAGCTGGTGGATGCCGCCAAGCTGGTGCTAGCCAAGGTGCCGGATTTGGTCAAAGGGATCAGCTGCCCTGGTCGGTGGAACACACTCCTGTCAACCCAAGCTGTGCTGGCGATCGCACTGAGTGGCACGGCCTACGCGACCCTGGCATCAGCACTGTGGTTTGCCTGTTACCTGTGGCTTCCACCGCACCAAATGCAGATTCGACGGGACATCAAGTGCTTGACACTGACCGTGCCGGCATTCCTTGCACTGCCACTGGGCATTCTGGTTCCCCAGCATGTTGCGCGGAGGCTGCGCCTGCGTTGGCACGTGTCATTCCCCCAACACTTGCAGCAGGTGATGCAGTGTGGCATGCATTGGGTCGAGCCCCCGCACGCGATTCTCCCACGCGGCTGCGGAACATACTTGAGCCGGGAGGAACAGCAACATCGCCTCGAGTACTACCTATCCGCACTCGTCCTCTTGATGTCCGCCTCCTTCCTGATAGGATTGGTGCTCACGGGACTCGGCCGAGGCCTTCGCGCGATCCTCCTAGGCTGCCGCGCCCGCTCCCGTGAGGTTTCTAGACCATGCGAATACGATCGGGTGCCTGACGATTCTACTTCTGAGCCAGAACGGGAGGCAGGCTGGCAAGTGACATGTTATGCTGGTGCATTTCACATCTTTTGTGCAAGCTTATCTCTCTTGGCAATGGCGACCGGCCGCTTGGACGACGGCTTGTGTTGGGAGTTCTGGTTGCTCTGGGCCATCATTGTGTTGAGCATCTCCTTGGTCCAATGTCTCTACTTCACCGTTTTCCTTCCTACTGGAGCCCTGGTCCCAATATTCGCACTGCCAATGGTGACCCCCCTGCTGCCAATTCTGGGCGAGCCCCTGGACACGTTTAAAGACTGGCTCTTCGTTGGCTTAGCGATGTCACGGAGGATACGGCATCTCCTTTCTAAAGCACTTTAGGGTTTGGGGCTTAGGGAGACAGTGTGGTGGCCCTTAAGTGCTCCAAGTAGTAGTGATGCCTGTTTGTTCTCCTTTGCATCTTGCGATTGAACTGGGTGCTCTGTCGGCTTGTGTTTGACATTGCTTCGTACGCATCTAGTCTAATCAGAGGACAACCAACGCAATTGAAAAAACCAAAGTACCGAGGCAGGATGTCCTGCTGTTGCTGAATTTTAGTGAGCTGACTTAAACCTCGCAGGACCTGGCCTGGCATCTTGATGGCTGGCATGGGTGTTGGCATTCTGTGCCTCTCCAACAGGTACGTGAGGACTCACCACCCCCAAGAACTAGCCAGAGGTCTTCTGCCGGTTTGGGCAGCCTGCCGCGACGCAAGGCGAGATGAGAGCTTCTTGGCCAAGATGACCTCGCAAGGAAAATTTGCCATTGCCGTCACAGAGGACCTGCCACAGGCATGCTTGCAGTCCCTCTTCGTGCTGATGTATGGAGGTTCCGTCACGCAGTACTTGTTCATCGTGTTTGCATTGCTCAAGGCCCTGGCCTGCTTATTGTTGAGAGCCACCATCATGGAGAGGGAGGCGCGCTTTCGCGACGCCTACGAGGCCATGGTGTTGTACTATGAGCTTGTGCGGTATGTGGCAAGCACTCTCGGAGGGAGGCACAGCGATTTCGCCCTCCGAAACCAGTGCAACTAGGACCCGGATCGAGTAGGCCCTTATTTTCTTTTCTAGGGCTGGGGTTCCCTTATCATCCCCTTACAATCAAAAGGGGTACCCCTTTTTTATTCCTAGGTTACTCCTGGGTCTAGGCAAACATGCGATGGCTTTGCACCGGCTCGGTCGACATGCCGAAGCACTGGAGTTGCAGCAGGAGGTGTTGGCTGTGCGCCGGAAGCCTGCAGGGCTTCCTGGGCGAGAGACACTGAAACTTGGTTGCCCAGTGGTGCCTCTTCGTGTTTTTTGGTTCAAGGTTCCCTGATAAAATAGCCAACCCCCAAAGTGGGTGCCCTGACTAGAGTTGCCGGGCTACTTCCCCATAAACCCTAACACCCTAAGGGGGGTTTATAGTGCTATGGTTACTGTGCTAGTAGGAAAGTTCGGCTTCTATTGGAACATAAAAGATCCTATGTTTCAAAAAAGGTCAATCTGGTATACTGGGCTAACCTAAACCCTAAAAACCCTAAACCCTAAACCCTATACCAAGGAAAGTTCAAGGGGAGCTCGCCGTGTCACTTGCAAATCTTGGCCGCCAGGCTGAAGCCCTGGCACTTCAGCGGGAGGTGCTCGCCACACAGCAAAAAGCGCTTTTGGTAGCACAGTGGTGCCCTTTTGCCATTTCTGTTTTTTTTTTTTGGGGGGGGGGGGGGGGGTTAGGGTTCCCTTTATCAAGTAACCAACCCCCAGCCCCAAAAGGGTGCCCTGAGTGTGGGATGGTTGCTGGGCCAAGGCCATGAAGCCCCATGATGCAGACGTGCTGTGGACTCAGGGCGACATCGTTATGTCACTTTCGGAGCTCGGACACCATGCCGAAGCTTTGGAGCTCGCGCAAGAAGTGCTGGCTGCGAGGCAGCCGGACCCAGGACCGGCTCATGCGGACACGCTGTGGACTCACGGGCAAGTGGCCACGTTGCTGGCAAAGCTTGGACGCCCCAGGGAAGCTCTCCAAGCTCAGGAGCTAAGGGCAGATTCATGCTCCCTGAATATGGTCCCCTACCTCCTTTCAAAGGGTTCTGACGTAGGGGCCCTTGAGTTGTATAGGGTTGTGAAATCCACCCTGTATTACTTCCCTGTACAGTAGGTCCGAGGTTCGTGTCTCAGAATAGTAGAGTTTCTTAGTATTCTTTTGGTCTCTTGGCTCAGGATATAACATCCTCGAATTAGTGTCTGATGTGGAACTCAGGTCAACCCTCACCTAGACAGTGGCGTGACCTCTTTCTCTTATTCTCGAATGAATTGTCGAGTGTCGAGTGTAACACCCGAACGTTCCCACGGATATGGTGGCGCTATTTCCTTCTTTGTTCGCAAACTGGTTACGAATCTATGAACCCACGAGTACATCGTGGACCATACGTTCACCTTTTTCACTCAAGAAGGAATGTGGACGTTCAGTGGTCGATGTGTTCACTTTCATTGTGTGATGACTACAGCCAACGGAAGATTCCTTGCAGGCTACGGAATGTTCGACATCTGAGGCTACGGATGAGCCCACATGTGTACTTCGAAAGTCTACCACTATAACGTGGGAAGCAACTTGTCTAGTTTTCCTTTCTTCTTAGCTGTCTAGACACGACTCGGAGATAAGACAGGTGTGATATCTACCTTGTATTTCTTCCCTGCAGAGTAGGACCGAGGTCGTGTCTCATAATCGTAGAGTTTCTTAGTACTCTTTTGGTCTTGATGTCCCTTTTAGAGGGCGTAGTGTAACTGTCACTTACCTCGCAGGCGCCTTGAGCTCGAGCCCAACGAGCCAAAAAGTAGGCTGCGTAGTTGGACAAACCCAGTCTCAAAAGGGTATATGAAGGGGTCCCCTTTTAAGGGCCTATATACTAAGGGAAGCATGTAACTACCCTAAGACAGGAGAGGGTGTTGGCAGCTCAAGAAGAAGCCCTGGGGCGAATGCACCCAGATACACTTTGGACCCGGGGTGAGCTGGCAGCGTCGCTGTCGAAGCTCGGCCAGCATTCTGACGCGTTGCGGCTGAAGGAAGAAGTGCTGGCTGCGCGGAAGCAGGTGCTGGATCCCGCTCACCCCGACACGCTGTGGAGTGAGAGCCAGCTGGCTGCGTCGCTATCGGATCTTGGCCAGCATGCTAAAGCACTGGAGCTTCAAGAGAAGGTGCTTGCCGCACGGCAGTTGGCCTTGGGGCCCTCTCATTCAGCCACGCTGAAGACTGAGGGCAAGCTTGCTGTGGCACTTGCAAACCTGGGCCGTTATTCCGAGGCATTGGATGTACAAAACAAGGTGCTGGCAGCTCAAGAACAGGTCCTGGGCCCGACTCACCCAGATACACTTTGGACGCAAGGCGATCTTGCAGTGTCGCTGTCGAAACTCGGCCAGCATTCTGACGCGTTGCGGCTGAAGGAAGAAGTGCTGGCTGCACGGAAGCAGGTGCTGGATCCCGCTCACCCCGACACGCTGTGGAGTGAGAGCCAGCTGGCTGCGTCGCTATCGGATCTTGGCCAGCATGCTAAAGCACTGGAGCTTCAAGAGAAGGTGCTTGCCGCACGGCAGTTGGCCTTGGGGCCCTCTCATTCAGCCACGCTGAAGACTGAGGGCAAGCTTGCTGTGGCACTTGCAAACCTGGGCCGTTATTCCGAGGCATTGGATGTACAAAACAAGGTGCTGGCAGCTCAAGAACAGGTCCTGGGCCCGACTCACCCAGATACACTTTGGACGCAAGGCGATCTTGCAATGTCGCTGTCGAAACTCGGCCAGCATTCTGACGCGTTGCGGCTGAAGGAGGAAGTGCTAGCCGCACGGAAGAAGGTTCTGGGCCACGCTCACCCCGACACGCTGTGGAGTGAGAGCCAGCTGGCTATGTCACTATCGGATCTTGGCCAGCATGCTAAAGCATTGGAGGTTGAAGAGGAGGTGCTTGCCGCACTGCAGTTGGTCTTGGGGCCCAATCACCCAGACACGCAGCTCGCGCAGGACAGAGTCGACCAACTCCTTGCACAATCTGAAAACAAGGACGCGCTTAATCTCTGAGCTTGGCAAGTGCCCAGACAGTATGCTTGGCAAGAAGTGGCCCACGAACCAACGCCTCCTCCCGCGACGACTCTTTCAGCATGTTTGTTGCTCGAAATGCCAAACTTACTCTGAACTTTCCACACTGCACAGAGACCACCCTAAACTCCAAATGCAAAGTAGCTATAAAGCCCGCTGTAAGGCTATAACGCCCCCAAAAACATGACCCTGAGCCGTATACTGTATCCATTCCTAAGCGGCTTACGTACCCCAAAAACCCTGAACCCTTAACCTCAGGCCCTAACCCGAAACCCGGAGCCCTAAACCCTAAACCCTAAACCCTAAACCCTAAACCCTAAACCCTAAACCTAAACCCTTCAGCCTCAAACCCGAGAGCCGCTTGGTCATGGCACGCTGGACGCGCTCGCGGGCGAGGGCAGCGGCTGCCCATGCCGCCGCGCCGGTCTCTCACCCCCACGCGGAGGCAAAGGGTTTGGGGTCTGAGGTGGTGCGAGTTTTAGGGTTTAGGGTTCGGGGGTCCGAGGTTTGGGGTTCGAGTTTTAGGGTTTTGGGGTGTTAGGGTTTGGGGGTCTGAGGTTTTGAGTTCGAGTTTTAGGGTTTAGGGTTTTGGGGTGTTAGGGTTTAGGGTTTGGGGGTCTGAGGGTTGGGGTTCGAGCATTGGGGTTTTGGGTTTTTGGGTTTAGGGTTTGGGGGCCGAGTTTTGGGTTTCGAGTTTTAGGGTTTAGGGTTTTGGGCGAAAGCGGAACCCGTACGCAAAAGCCTGCTGAACTTCAGGGGGAACGGCCTGTTCAATCTGGTCTTAGGGTTTGGGGTTTTGGGGTCTTAGGGTTTAGGGTTTGGGGGTCTGAGGTTTGGGGTTTGAGTTTTAGTGTTTACGGTTTAGGGCTTTAGGGATTTTAGGGACTTTAGGGTTTAGGTTTGGGGCTTTCCAATTAGCCTGCGGTTTACGGGTACAAGGGTTTGGGGTTTAGGGTTTCGGGTAAACCCTAAACCCTAAACCCTAAACCCTTTATAAGGGGCTCATGCATTTGATTCCTCAGCCCTAGTCCTCGCTAAGCCCTGAGCCTCCGAGTTTTGGGTTGTTGAAGGATAGCTACGCTCAGCTCCTTCCCCTGATGTTAAGCCCCCCCCCGCTACCCAACGAGCCCAATTCCGCTTAATGAAGGAGTATACCTTTAACAAATTAAGGATCCTAATATCAAGCAAGGTGTATTCCTCAATTAAGGGGTATTGACCTCCCTGGGTACCCACTAATACTACTTATTGTAGAGTGTAGGTTTTAGATTTAGGGGGTCAGGGGGGTTGATATCAGGGGGAAGGGATAAGCGTACTATTTTCTCATACCCTAAGGCTGCAAGGAATCTTCTTCAAGAGTTTCAAAGGTTTGTAGGAATCTTGTTTGAGTGTTTTGTGGGGGCCTAAAGGCCTTGTTATATCAGGTTTTTGGGGCCTTAAGGGCCTAAACCCTAAACCCTAAACCCTAAAACCTTTTGAGTCTATGCACGTCGGTGAGCCCGCGCGAGGCAGAGCGCTGCCCCATCTGCCTCGATGCTGTGGCCGGGCAAGCCATGCTGGCGTGCGAACATGCGCTCTGCGCAGAGTGCCTTCTAAGGCCCTCCGACTGGCGCTACCATGTGTGGGAGGGTTCATATAGGGTTTAAGGTTTGGGCTTTAGGGTTAAGAATCCCCCCCAAAAAATCTAAAAGATGACAATCTCTATACTTCCCTTATAAGGAAGAACATTGTTATTGAGTTTGTTTTTGGGGAGTTCTGAAGCGAATAGTAGTTAGAGTAAGTTCCCAGAGAGTCCAGGGCACCAAAACCAAGAACTTTTCAACGTCGTTTATGATAACCCAATACCCCGTTAAGTGAGGTAGTTCAGGATAGCGCAAGAAACCTCAATTATGGAACTTAGTTTACTTATAATAATGAGCTCAAGGCATAGTCATAGTCCTGTATTTAGGGGGTATTTGGCTCATGAGTTGTCTGACTTGGATTACTTGAAGGTGGCTTTGTGTTTAGGTTGTGGGTACATATAAGGGGTTGTGTTTGCCTGGAATGGTGGTTTCTAGAAATGCACCTTACGTAGTAGATAGTCGTGTTTGCGTCCCAAATACTTCTCAAACCCCTGTAGAGAAACCCTCGCTTGGTAGCCTGGGGTGGGTTTAGGGTTTAGGGTTTAGGATTTAGGGTTTAGGGGTTAGGGTTCAGGGTTTAGGGTTTAGGGTTCAGGGTTCAGAATTTAGGGTTGGCCTGGGGCAGCGATCCGCACAGGCCCTTTAAGCCTCACTATGTAGTTGGTATCACCCCACCCTCCCAGATTCCCTTTCCATTAGATTTTGTTTTAACAAATGGTTTTTTACATAAAACGCTCTCTTGCACACAAAAATTAACCATATTATATCCATTTTTCTTACTTGACTCGCCACTCCATCATCAGACTTAACTTAGTGTCTGTGTGGGCTTCACCCCACAAGGCGCTTAGGGTTTAGGGTTTAGGGTTTAGGGTTTAGGGTTTAGGGTTGATATTTCTCACTGGGTTACCCAGATCATCAGAAGGGGGTTTAGGGATTTGGGGTGTAGGGGTTCAGTGGTTTCAGGGTTTAGGGTTTAGGGGTTTACGAGTTCAGGGTTTAGGGTTTAGGGTTGATAGAGGGTTGGGTCTTTAGAGCGCTTATAGACCCTAAACCTAAACCCCAAACCCTAAACCCTAAACCCGCAGCCTAAGACAGGTACGTGGAGAGCCTCGTGAACCAGGGCAAGGTCGATTCCCAGGAGATTGCCTGTCCGCTACCCTCCTGCCGCACGCCTGTGGCGACGAACGCTCTTTCAGACGCCTGGCCTTCACCAGTTCAGGGTTGAGGGTTTAGGGTTTAGGGTTTAGGGTTTAGGGTTTAGGGTTTGTAGGGTGTTTCTTGCACTTAGATAGGTTCTTTAGGGTTTAGGCTTTATGGGGTTTATAGGGTGTTGGGGTCGCTTCGGGTTTAGGTTCTGAGGGTTGGGCTGGTTTGGCGGTGTGAGAGCATGCCCCAGAAGATCCTAAACCCCTATAAATCCTGAACCCTAAACCCTAGCCCTAAACCCTAAACCCTAAACCCTAAACCCTAGACCCTAAACCCTAAACCCTAGCTTCAGCATCTGCGGAGTGAGCCTCTAACACGGTGCTTTTCGTCTGAAGTCGTCAGTCCCAAGCCCTACCTAGAGTAACCCGTTTAGGGTTTAGGGTTCAGTATTTAGGGTTTAGGGTTTAGGGTTTAGGGTGTATGGACAACATGGAGTTGCTCCTCAAAATTGCAGGGGTGTGCGCTGCGCTAGAAAAACCTTCAACCCACCGTTGCCCTGTAGGCCTAAGCAGCCTACCAAGCCTCCAAACCTAAAACCGCTAAGGGTTTTGGGTGGTTTAGGGTTTAGGGTTTAGGGTTTCGGCTTTAGGGCCCTAACTTAGAACCCTAAACCCTACCCTAGCTAAGGAGTTTCTCCGTCCGCAGCCCGGCGGGGAGGAGCTGTACCAGCGCCTGTTGGATTTCCAGGCTCAAGTCCCAATCCCAATGGCTTTTTTGTTGGAGTTTCAGGGTTTAGGGTTTAGGGTTGTGAGGTTTTGAGTATCTATCGGGTTCGTAGAGGGGCAGGTGACCCAAACTCCGTCTTTCATATACAGAAGTGCCCCAAACTCGTGTTGCGGGCGACCTGCTCTCAAGTCTATGAACTTCATGATCGTGGCTCGGGGGTGCGGACGCTGCGAACCCCTTTATCCTGGGTCCTAAGCCCTAACCTAAACACGAACCCCGAAACCCTAAAGCCTATGCCCTGACCCTAAACCCAGGCCTTGCTTCTAAGCTTCAAAGTAAGGTGGGAGACAGAGCCGCTAAATACTAGCCGAGGTTGTATCTCCTTCTTTTTGTAGCCCAATATAGGACCCTTCCAAACCCTGCGAATCCGCAGGCGCCTTGACTCAAAAGCCAGCAAAATGTAGCTGCGTAGTTGACCGCCCTACGAGCTCCTCCAAAACCCTAAACCCTAGACCCTAAACCCTCACCCCTAAAGCCGAAACCCGAAACCCTAAACCCTTCCTTAAGGGGCTCTTGGGGGACTCTCGTGGGCTACTATGCGAGGCGCAGCGCTTTGTGCCAGAGCCCAGCGACGACGAGCGGCTGGTGAATTGCCCCAGTCCCGGCTGCATCTCGTCATCCTTTGAGGCCTTTGAGGGGTTTAGGGTTTAGGGTTTAGGGTTTCGGGTTTCGGGTCTGGGGTTTCGGGTTTAGGGGTTTAGGGTGTGGGCTGCATCTCGGCTGTGGGGGTTTAGGGGTTTAGGGGTTTACAGGGTTTAGGGGTTTAGGGGTTTAGGGGTTTAGGGGTTTAGGGGTTTAGGGGTTTAGGGGTTTAGGGGTTTAGGGGTTTAGGGGTTTAGGGGTTTAGGGTTTAGGGTTTGACACTTTTCCAACCTGAAGCTTGACACCGTGAGAAGCTGGCGTTTCAGTTCGGGGTCCGGCTATCATCGACTCTTGGTCTGCTGGGCCCTCTGGAAACTGCATCCCTAAACCCCAAACCCTAAATCCTAAACCCCTAAACCTTGGGCTTAAGCCCTTAAACCCTTAAACCCTTAAACCCTAAACCCTAAACCCTAAAGCCTAAACCCTAAACCCTAAACCCTAAACCCCAAACCCTAAACCCTAAACCCTAAACCCTAGCTTAACCTTTCTTCCCTGGTTGCTGGAGAAGTAAGTCTCAAGGCATCAAAGTTCTGGTGCCGCTGGCCCTGGTTCAAGGGAAGACCGCCGAGACCAGCCTGCAGCCAACGTTTAGGCTTTATGGGGTTTGGGGTTTGGGGTTTAGGGTTAGGGTTTAGGGTTTAGGGTTTAGGGTTTAGGGTTTTGGGTTTAGGGTGCAGGGTTCAGGGGTTTAGGGGCTTAGGGGTTCAGGGGTTCAGGGGTTTAGGGTTTAGGGTTTATTGGATTTACGGGGTTTAAGGGGTTTATGGGGTTTAGGGCTTATAGGGTTTAGGTTTCGGGCTTTTCGGATTTAAGGGCGTGGGGCGTGTGGTATTTAGGACTGGGTTTAAGGGCCTTCGAGCTTAGGGGCTGGGAGGTTTTAGGGCCGACAGGTTTTAGGGCTTAGAGGGCTTTGGACAATACAGTGTTTAGGCCTGGACCCGGGTTGAAGGCTTGTGGTGCTTATGATAGGGTTTCGAGTTTAAAGGGTTTATGGCTTGTAGGGTTCTGAGCTTGTTTGAAGAATTTGGTAGCTGTAAGTAAAGATGGACTACGGCACGCCTCCGTTTTTTGGAATGGGTGCTGCTCTGGTAGGGTTACTGTCTGGCAAGATCGTGCCTGTTGAGTGTGTCTCCCATGCCAGTCCCACAAGCCCAGCGATGCCTGCTAACGTTATATACGCTCACAAGGCACCTAGTCCCCGAAACCCTAAACCCTAAACACAAAACTCGAACCCTCTGATGCCTTGAGCTTGACATGTTGTGGTCCGAGGTCAGCTGCCCTCAATGTCGTCAGCAGTTCTGCTGGGTGCCAAGTGCGAAGGTGTGTAATTGTGAGCTACAAGTACCCCTAAACCCGAAACCCGAAACCCTAAACCCTAAACCCTAAACCCTAAACCCTAAACCCTAAACCCTAAACCCTAAACCCTAAACCCTAAACCGAGCAGCTTCGTGTGTAGGGTTGGGGTTGAGTGCTTCGGGTCTAGGAACCGACTGCATGGAAAGGTCTCGGCCCAGAAGCCCGGACTCCAAAGCACTGGAGTTTAGGGTTTAGGGTTTAGGGTTTAGGGTTTAGGGTTTAGGGTTTAGGGTTTAGGGTTTTGGGTTTTGGGTTTTGGGTTTTGGGGGGGTTTTGTGTTTGGGCTTGATGCACCCTAAGCCATCAAGCCCCCGAGCTCCAGTCGTGTCAGCCTCATGCAAACCTCTGCCTACGGCAATTTGATTTCTGAGTCCCCTATAAACCCTAAACCCCCAACCCTAAACCCTAAACCCCTAAACCCCTAAACCCTAAACCCTAAACCCTGAACCCTGAACCCTGAACCCTAAACCCTGAACCCTGAACCCCAAGCCCCAAACCCTAAACCCCAAAACCCCATAAACCCCAAGCCCCCTAAGCCCCGAACGGCCCCTAAGCCCCGAAGGCAGCGCCTGCGCACAGCCGGCCCACGCTGGAAGCTGCGATGATGCCGAGCTGCAGCGCATGGATCCGGCGCCACTTGAGAAGGAAATGAATGGTTTAGGGTTTAGGGTTTCCAGGGTTTCCAGGGTTTCCAGGGTTTCCAGGGTTTCCAGGGTTTCCAGGGTTTCCAGGGTTTCCAGGGTTTCCAGGGTTTCCAGGGTTTTAAGCGCTTTTGAGGTGTGAAGGGTTTTAGGGGTTGTTAGGGCTTGAGGGCTTTTAGGGATTTTAGAGTTTAGAGGGCTTTCGGGTTTATGGTCTTTAGGTTTGTTTTATTTTCCGGCTCTTAGGGTCTTCAGGGTTTTGGTTTGTTTCTTGCTTTGGGGCTTTAGGGTTTTTCGGGTTTTCGGGTTTGGGGTAGGGGATTCAGGGCTTGAGGGTTTGGAGATCTGAAATGGGTTAAGAACCCGGTAACCTTAAGGGAGGGGGGTTCATGGTTTTTGTTGGGGCTGAGGTCCTGGGTTTAGGGTTTAAGGGGTAAGGTTCAGGGTTTAGGGGTTTGCGGGACTGCCATACGGCATAGCGCTGCCTTTCAAACTTGACATGGACCTTCTACACCCTAAACCTGAAGCCACTCAACCAAAGGGCCTGACAATCTGTTTGGGTATTGTACATACCTCCCGTACAGCATTCTAAGGACCTTACGGGAAACTCAGCCAGTGAGCAACCCATCAGTATCTATCATCACCCAAAACTCCCTCGTCCCAAGAGCTCTCGTTGCCATGAGGCCCCAAACCTCAAAACCCTCAACACCTCCAAACCTCAGAGCCCTAAACACCCCAAACCCTAAACCCTAGATAAAAACGCCCCGAAGCCTGAAACCCCAAACGCTGCAAACCCTAGAACCCCAAGCGCAGCCAACTCTACAGCCCTAAACGCCGCCAACCCTAAACACCCTAAACACCCTAAACCCTAAACGCCCCAAACCCATAAACCCTAAGCATCCCAAAACCCTAAACCCTAGCCCTAAACCCTAAACCCTAAACCCTAAACCCCAGCCCTAAACCCCAACCAACCCAGGCTACGGCAGCTCATGGCCCAGCAAAGATCCTCATCTCAACTGGATGGGATCCAGCGCTTAGGATTTGGGTTTAGGCTTTAGGGTTTGGGATTTACGGTTTGGGGTTTAGGGTTTAGGGTTTAGAATTTAGGGTTTAGGGCTTAGGGTTTACAGTCTAAAGTTTAGGGCCTTTAGAACGTTCTAGGGTTTTAGGGTGTAGGGGCTTTGGAATTAGGTTTTGTGTTTCGCGTTGAAGGGCGTTAGAATTAGGGTTTAATGTTTATGCTTTAGGGGCTTTAGAATGCTGTAGGGCTTAGGGTTGTGAGGCTTTGGAATAGGCTTCAGGGTGCAGGGGCTTTGGATAGAAAGTATGGTTCAGTTATGGTGGAATCACGGGCATCATGAGCACATTGAATTACAGCAGCCTCAGGAGTTTGGGGTTTAGGGTTTAGGGTTCAGGGTTCAGGGTTTAGGGTTTAGGGTTTAGGGTTAACCCTCCGCCCTAAACCCCAAACCCTAAACCCGATACCCGACACCCCAGAACCCTTTCAGGCGAAGGTTGTGGCACCTTGCGTCTTGTACCCTATGAATGGAGGTTCAGGGTACTTATAGCCCACGTATAGCTGTAGGTATAATCCAAGCCCTAAACCCTAAACCCTAAACCCTAAACCCTATTTAGGGTAAACGCTAGCTCTACCACCCACCCCAGGAGCCTTGTCCTCAAGCCTTCCCCGACAGACCCTAATTGAACCCTAAACTTTGGTTTGGGGTTTGGGGTTTGGGGTTTGGGGTTTAGGGTTTAGGGTTTAGGGTTTAGGGTCCCTAAACCCTAGACCCTGAACCCCTCGCGTGCCAAGATTGGAAGAGATGCCCAGTCTGCCGGCACTTGTGCGAGCGCGAGTCGGGCTGCAACTTCATGACGTGCCCCTCGGAGCAATGAGCCTCAGCCGCAAGCTGTCTCTAGGATGCCCAGTAGTACCCTTATTCCCTTTTTTGGGGGGGTTTAGGTTCCCTTATAAACCCCTTTAAGCAAAAAAAGGGGCACCCTTTTTAAGCCTAGGTTACTGGGCAGCCTAGCTACTCCAGGGTGATTTACGAGGGCTTAGGTCTGGGCTTGAGTTCAAGGGTTGTTTGTTGGGGGGAGGGTGTTAGGTGTGGGCCCTTAGCCTGGTTTGTTCATGAGGGAGTTCAGTTTCCCCACAGGCGGCCATTTTCCGACAGGGAGAAGAAGGGAAGCAACCATGCCAAACATGCGCTGAGCTCATGCTCTCCTACCGGCCTAGGCTCGAAAAGGGCCTTCCTGAAGCCCAGAAACCCTAACCCCAACAAACCCTCTCTTCCTGGGACTCTTTGACCTCCTAACCTAAAGCGTCGTCATCTTGCCTTCATTCAATCTGACCTTGAGGGTTTGGGGTTTAGATTTCTTCGTGCGCCTCTTGAGCCCTAAGCCCTAAGCTTCTAGAGGCCCTAAACCCTAACCCTAAACCCTAAACCCCTAAACCCCTAAACCCCTAAACCCCAGGCATCGTGAGACTTGAGGGCTCCAACCTTAGACCCCCAACCGAGTCGTTGCCCCAGGCAAAGGGCAGACTTACTTCTGCTACCTCTGTGGGGAGATCTTGGCCGCTTCAGACCACGCGGCGCACTACGAAGGCAATTGTGTTTACTTGCGGGGGTTGTGTGTGTGTGTGTGTGTGTGTGTGTGTGTGTCTGTGTTTTCGGGTTTAGAGTGTTTAGGGCATACATGTCTGCGACTTACTTGTTGTTTTCCCTAAGCCCCGAAGTAAACCCCTAAACCCTGAATCCCTAATCCGTAACCCTAAATACCCTCAACCCTAAACACCCTAAACCCTAAACGCCGTAAACCCCATGCCCTAAACCCGAAACCCCAAACCCTGAACCCCGAAACCTTGAACCCTACACCCTAAACCTTGAACCCTAAACCCTAAACACCCTGAACCCCAAACTAAACCTGAAACCCTGAACTCTAAACCCTATAAGCACTCTTAGACCTAGCCCTAAATTAAGCCCCAATCCCTGAAGCCTAAAACCCTGAACCCTAAACCTTCAACCCTCAACCCTAAGCACCCTAAACACCCTGAACCCCCTCAACTCCCCCTAAAACCCCTAAACACCCTAAACACCCTAAACACCCCAAACACCCCAAACCCTAAGCAGCCTAAACCCCCTTTACCCCAAACCTTAAACCCTAAACCCGAAGCACTCAACAAGATCCCCAGGCTTTGAGGGGGCCATCGGCCTGCGCGGGCCCTTCGGCCTCCTTGTCTGCATAGGGTTTAGGGTTTAGGGTTTAGGGTTTAGGGTTTAGGGTTTAGGATTTAGGGTTTAGGGTTTAGGGTTTAGGGTTTAGGGTTTAAGGTTCAGGGCTTAGGGTTTAGGGTTTAGGGTTCAGGGTTCTCCAGGTATGTTTTGGTGCTTGATGCTTTTTGGGTTTAAGAGCTGAGGGCTTTGCATGTGCCGGAAACTTGTTGTTGATTTGGACAAGTACCCCCCCCCCCCAACCATGCACGCCACAAACAATTGTGTGGAAATCTTGTTTGGGAGAGGGGGACCCCTAAACGCTAAAACTTAAGAAGCTTAACCAAGTGATGAAAGCTGCAGCCCCCCTGAAGCGGGGCGCTTAGGTTGTCCTTGGCGCTGCGCACTCCCGCGGACCAAAGAGTCCCTAAGACCCTCCTGACGCCATCCTAACCTAGAACACCAGAAAGAAGACGTGGTAAGGTAGAGAGCCACAGGGAAACCGCAAACTTCAGAGAGTCTGCTTGCTTTTTTCGTGTAGGCAGCATGAGGCTTTAAGGCTTATGTCGCAGTACTCCCCAACCCCTAAACCCTAAACCCTAAACCCCAAACCCTAGACCCTTATGTCTGCAGTCGATTTCCTTCCCGAGTGATGCATGGCGTGACTGAGGGCTCTCAACTTTACGGTCTTAAGTTTCAGGGGAGGGAACGTCCCTTTCAAGAGTGCCTGGAGGATTAGGGTTTGGGGTTTAGAGTTAAGGGTTTAGGACCTTTTTGCAGGAGTGTGCCAGAATAGCCTCATCAAGCAAAGCAGGACTCACTCTTCATTCCTTGGTACCTTGTCCTACCTCGAGGGTTTTTGCCTGTTTTGGCGGATCGAGCTTCACGACTGTCAACCCGAAATGGAGCTACCCTAGCACCCATGTTGCCCCAGACCCTAAACCTCGAACCCTAAACCCTAAACCCTAAACAACCCTAAACCCTAAACCGCACCAGCAGCTGTTTAAGGAGCCCTGCCATCCTCGCCTTGTTTGGGGTTATGGTCTGGGGTACTTAGACTTAGGGTTCAGGGTTTGGGGTTCCGCAACCCTAAACCCTAAACCCAAAACCCTAAACCCTAAACCCTAACCCTATACCCTATAGCCTACACCCGCAAGGTTCTCTTTGCATGAATCGGCGTGAGCCAGACCCCTCTCTTCCAACGAAGCCGCCGCCGCCACGCCTCAGCGTGTCTTGGAGATAGTGGGATGAGTCAGGGTTTAGGGTTTAAGGTTTAGGGTTTGAGGTTTAGGGTTTGAGGTTTAGGGTTTGAGGTTTAGGGTTTAGGGTTTAGGGCCCTAAATACCCGGTTGTGCTCCACGAGGAGGGGCACCCCCTTGCTATCCTACCTAAAGTTCAGGGACGTGATGACCTAAGTTCCGACATTTGCGGTCCACTTCAGGGTGCTCGTGAATCTGCTACTTATGGAAGTAGGTACTATGCAAAGTAGGCTTCGAGGGGAATACAAGAGGTACGCAAGTCCCTATTTCCCGTTTATGGATGCATGACATATGTGTTGTCATTCTTTCTGTAGTTGTGCTTACAGCCATTTCTCACGATGCATGCAGATGCGGCTATGTGGGAATGCAGTCAACCCCCTAGTTCCGGGTAGCTTTGGAGCTTTTGGGTGGGGTTTTAGGGTTTAGGGCCCTAAACCCTAAACCCTAAACCCTAAACCCTAAACCCTAAACCCTAAACCCTAAACCCTAAACCCTAAACCCTAAACCCTAAACCCTAAACCCTAAACCCTAAACCCTAAACCCTAAACCCAGACTTCCACGGACTTGAGCCCCAGCCTCCGAAGCCGAGGTGGTGCGGGGCGACGAGGAAGGCTCCATTGTTCTTCGGATCACTTGGGGCGAGCACAGGAGTCAGAGCGGTTTAGGGTTTAGGGTTTAGGGTTTAGGGTTTGGGGTTTAGGGTTTAGGGTTTAGGGTTTAGGGCACAGGAAAGACCCTGCCCCGAGGACAGACCCATCTTCGATGCTGGAATCGCAAAGCCCGCACCAAGGGCCGGGGGTCTAGTTTCGGGTTTAGGGTTTAGGGTTTAGGGTTTAGCGTTTAGGGTGGGGTTTAGGGTTCGGGGTTTAGGGTTTGGGGTATAGGGTCTCAGGACTTAACCCAGGGTCCATGTACCCATAGAGTATATACTTGGGCCTTCATTAAAGGGGTTCCTTTTTTCAGTAGCTTTAGGGCCCAAATATGCACTATATTGTGTACGTGGACCCTTGGGGTAGGGACTCGCAACTTCAAAACCATTCCTCAACCCACTCTCTTTCCTGTGCCCTGAACCCTAAACCCTAAACCCTAAACCCGAAACTAGACCCCAGGCCCTTGGTGCGGGCTTTGGGGTTCCATCGTCGAAGATGGGTCTGTCTTCGGGGCAGGGTTTATGATGACCCTCCACCCCTACACTTCTACTTGCTTCAGAACCCCCCCCCCAAAAGAAAAACACACACACACACACAAATAAAACGTAGATTGCCCTTATAAGGATTTTTTTGGGGGGGCGGATAGGTGCGGGGGAGAGAGGTGTGGGGCGAGGACGTCTCCCAGCCCCCAAATCTGGACCTTATGACTATCACGTGACCGGGGTCTGTAGCTTCAGGACCAACCCTACATCCGTACTGCAAGTAGTCCCGTGAGATATGTTGGACTTTCTCTTGCTGGGGTTCTAAGGGCCTTGAATGGCCAACCAGGTCTCTATGTCACTAAAATAATTACCACATGACTCCCAGGTGGCGTAAATGACCCAAGTGTCCCAAGCGACGCAAGTCTCCTCAAGCATCAGAAGTTCAGAGCACCCGAGTCTTCATGGCAGATCCGAGCAAGTATGCGCGTGGGACGTGCAACCGGCTGCATAGAAGTGAAACTGAACACCTGCTCCGAAAAAACCTGATAGGGATCCACGAACCCGAATGCAGAAAGCAGTCACCTATATAACGTAAATATAACGCAATATAAACGAAACGTCGGTGGCGGGCGGACGGACCACCACGGGACCATCACCACGGGACCACCACCAGGGGACCACCACCACGGACCACCACCTGGACCACCACCACGGACTACCACCACGAACCACCACCACGGACCACCACCAAGGGAGCACCGCCACGGGACCACCACCACGCGGACGACCACCACGGACCACCACTACAGGAACCACCACCACGGACCACCATCACGGGACCACCACCACGGGACCACCGCCACGGGACCACCACACGGGAACACACCATGGGACCACCACTATGGGACCACCACCACGGACCACCACCACGGACCACGGGCCACGGGACCACCACCACGGAACCACCACGGACCGCCACCACGGGACCACCACTACAAAACCACCACCACGGACCATGTGCACCACCACGGGACCACCACCACGGGACCACCACCACGGCACCACCACCACGGGACCACCACCACGCACCACCTGGGGTCACCACCTGGGACCACCACCACGGACCACCACACCACGGACCAACACCACGGGACCACCACCACGGGATCACCACCACGGGATCACCACCAGTGGACGGCCACCACGGGACCACACCACGGACCACCACGACCACCGCCGCGGGACCACCACCACGGACGACCACCACAGACCACCACCACGGACCACCACCACGGACCACCACCACGGACCACCACCACGGACCACCACCAACGGACCACCGCCACAAACAAACCACCACGGGACCACCGCCACAGGACCGCGACCACGGACCAGCAGTACGGGACCACCATTACCACCACGGGACCACGCCGTGGGACCACCACCAGGACCACCACCAGGGGACGCGTACCCTGCGGAGTTCTCCTTAGCTTGACGGGTTCGGAACGCCGCAGAACGCCACGTGGAACACCACGGCGGCGCGCGTCCTCTGGAGTTCCCCCTTGTGACAATTCCCAACGCCGCGGAACGCCACGTGGAACGCCACGGCGGCGCGCGTCCTGTGGATTTCCCCCTTCTAGCTTGACGGAGTCGGAACGCTACGGAACGCCGCGTCGGCGCGCGTTCTGTGGAATTTCCCCTAAGCTTGACGGATTGGGAACGCGACCGAGCGCCGCGTCGGCCGCGCGTCCTGTGGAGTTCCCCCTTAGCTTGACGGATTCGGAACGCTGCGGAACGCCGCGTCGGCTTGACGGATTCGGAACGCTACGGAACGCCGCGTCGGTGCGCGTCCTGTGCAGTTCCCCCTTAACAGTACGCTTACGCCGCTCGCGAACGCTTGCGGACGCTTTGCGAACGCTTTGCGAATGCTTTGCGAACGCTTTGCGAACGCTTTGCGAACGCTTTGCGAACGCTTGCGGACGCTTTACGGACACAACGCAACGACGATTGGTAACCACCCAACCCAACTTCAAAACGGGAACCCTTCTGCGGAGCATTCGGGAAAATGGCATTGCATGGCTTTTGCCCTAAACCCTAAACCCTAAACCCCAAACCCCAAACCCCAAACCCCAAACCCTAAACCCTAAACCCTAAGGCGTAGGTCGCGTTGCTAAAAAACACTCGGCCTTGAGAGTTCTAAGTGGGGCGGCCTTGGGGTGGGTAGGCTGCAGACTGCTGCACGCTGGCAAAGCGCGCTTCCGTTTGCAACACACCCTAAACCCTAAACCCTAAACCCTAAACCCTAAACCCTAAACTCCAAACCCTCCACCCATCCAACAGAGGAGTGAGCCCCCCACCATCTACTACCGGATTTTCCTGTCGGTTCCGGGAAGTGATGAGGCCGTGGGCTTGCGTTAGGAAGCTAGTTTGGGTTTAGGGTTTAGGGTTTAGGGTTGAGGGTTGAGGGTTTAGGGTTTAGGGTTTAGGGTTTTAGGGTTTTAGGGTTTTAGGGTTTTAGGGTTTATGGTTTAGGGTTTAGGGTGTAGGGTGTACAGTTTGTAGGACGTAGCTAACTCCAGGGCAAAAGCGACTTCGTGAAGCTCACCGCTGACGCGTCGCCCCCATTGGCCCCCAAACCCTTTTTGTTTCGGCATTGCGGGCTTATAGGGTTGAGAAGGTTCATGGTACTTAGTAACTAATTATATCTGTACTTATAACCGTGCTTACAACCATCTTGGGGCACTCAAGGGGCTTATGAGTGGGTTATAAGTGCAGTCATAATTGGTTAGTAAGTACCATGAACCTCCAAGTTGTAGCTCTAAACCCTAAACCCAAACCCCTCAACCCTAAAGATCTGGGTTTCTTTGCAGGCGCCCTGGACCATCACCATGTAATGCCCTAAACCTTTATGAGCACCTAAAGTCTTAAACCCCTCCGTTCGAGCAGTGTGTTCTCATGGGTTTCAGAGGAGCTTTTCTCCCTTGCAGCGCTCACAAGGTGTCAGTGGTTCTTTTCCACACTCCACAGCCTGCCGAATTTTCAACCCACGAAGCAATACCAAAGACGCCCCTAAACCCTAAGCCCGAAACTGCAGCGCCTCCGATATTCGTAGGTGCGTCATCTCTCTGCAGCCGCGCGAGGGTCGGGCACTGAGCTCTGAAAGGGCGGGCTCAGCATTTTTCGGCGGTTCTTGCCTAGAGGCACCCATTTGGGTCCCCGTTGCAGCATCCTTTCCCTAGAAGAAGACACCTAAAATCAGGGTAGGATATAGACATCCAGTCAGGGGCATGGCCTTCCAAAGGAAAACCTCAAAACGCGGCCATTCGCGACAAGAATCTGGGCTCAGAATACCAACGTGTTGCTGCAGACTCGCACAAACTAGGATGTCAGTAGCACCCTTCGTCTTCCCTGGTTTAGGCTCAGAACCTCAGCACCAGAGACCAGACGTCTCCCAAAGGGATGGAGTAGGCTGGTCGTTTCGCAGGTCGGGCTTGAATGCCTTGCACCTTGTGGCTGCTGTCGAGGGAAAGGAAGAGCGGCAAAGCCGCAAATGTCGGGTTGGGTGGAAGGCTTGCGTCCCAGTTGTTTGTCAGTGGAGGCGTCCTGCTGCACGCAGTTCTACTCGAAGGCAATCAGTGGTCAATCAATATTCGGAGTTTTCTTGGGAGCCTTTGCCAGCTCTGCAGCCCTCCTTTTCTGGCCATATGCATCATGCAGTTGGATCTTGGTGAACGATCGACGTCGCGCGACTTGCATGTGCGCCCGCGAACCCTAAATCGCAGGCACGGCGACGCGTTCCAAATCGTTCCAAGAACATTTACCTGCGGCAGCGGCTTGCTTTCTATCTTATATGTGTTTGTTCCACACAAGCCTGGACTTTCCACGTGTGCTGTTGAGGGTGTTGGGGAAGGGTGACAAGATCGATTGCAAAACGAAGGATAATTGAACAAATGCTTAAGGCACTTTCCTCCAGAACTTTGCTTGAAATAGCCAGCAAACGCCGCGAGAACTTCAGTTCGCCAGCATGCCAGCCCGAATAGGTTTTACGCTACCCTACCCGCAAGATGCCCCCAAAATGCGACCAGCAATAAGAGGACTAGCAATCCCTTGGGGGGGGTGCACATATCGTATACGGTTGGGTCCTAATCTGAAGCTCAAGGCCCAAGTGTGTATTGGAGAAGTACATGGTTCGTAGATGCTCTAATACGCTTAGCAATGCTGTCTAGGGTAGGGTTCAAGCTGGGCAATGGAGGGAGTGGGCTTGAGGCTTGGAAAACAGCCCGCACCTGCCAGACTAGCCGTTCAGCGTGGCTGGGTTTAAGTTTCGGACCCTTAGACTCAAAATGCCCCACAAACCTTTTTAACAAGGCCGCCAAAGACCCGTAAACGTGAGTCCTTCAGCCTGCCATAAGCCCGAAGACCCGAAGTGCACAAAACCCCCGCTGAAAGTTGGAACAATGTACTGTCAGCATCCTTCAACTATAACCACATAAGGCAGATAGGTTTGACAATGGGCAATGGGTTTTTGGCGGTCTTGGATGTTGGGTTCTGAAGGTTTAGGGTGTAGGGTTGCGGGTTTAGTCCCCAAAGCCTAAACCCCTCAACCCCTAAGCAGTCTAGGGTTTAGGGTTGAAAAGTGTAGGGTTCAACTATCATCCTTCCTCTGTAGGAAGTGACAGGAAAAAGAACACCCGATGAAAGCGGACTTGCGGTCCCTACGTCTGCCTCCCTAAGCTCTATAAGTGTTTCGAACGTGACATAGACCCATGTAAGGACGTTTAAGGTACTTTGGGGCTGCATGAACCGTAGATTTTAGGGTTCATATACCCTTTACTACTATATAATCCCTATATACAGTCCGTATACCCTTTTCAGGTTGCAATTCGGTCCCCAAAGTCTGTGTCGGAGTGCGCTTTCTCTTGGGGTAAAAGGGGACCCCTTTTGTACCCCTTATGCACCCCATACAAATTTAGAGCCCCCCCCCCCGCCCCTGAACCCTCACGCCAGCGGATCACGAGGCTCTGGGGTTCCGGGTTCAGGGTGTAGGGTTGACGCCTCGCACAAGAGGATTCCGTGTAAACTCAGAACCTAAATAGAACCTGAACCCGTAAACCTAAACCCTAGACCCTCCTAAAACCCTTCAACCTGTAAAATCTTTAGGCCCAACCAAAGCCCTGATGAAACACTAGAAGTGGCAGATTCACCCTCAAATCTATTACCCCCCCCCCCCCCTCCCCCAAACCCTCAACCCTAGCCCCTCAAGTACTAAGCCCTTACATCAGAACCCTTATCCGGAGGTAAGGGGCCAGATTTTTTGGGCCCATAGAACCGCTCTTAGACCTTCCCTGCTAAGACTCCGTAGGGATGGGTCCCAGAGGCCACACTACGATGTCCCACGGCATCTGCCGAAATACATCCGGTATCAAGCGGCGGCAACTTGCCTCTAAAAAGGCAAGTTTGAGGTTGAACAGGGTTGGGCCTTGGATGAGGGATGAGGGTTTAGGGTTTTGGGTTTAGGTTTATGAGTTAACACCAGGGATGGTTTGAGGGTTTAGGGTTTTGGGTTTAGGTTTATGAGTTAACACCAGGGATGGTTTTCATGGGGTTGGGTTCGGGCGATTCCGACTTGAAGGGGACGATGCTTCAGCCCCTTGCAAAGTTGCAAAGGGACAAATTGCTTTTGGAAAAGGGACGTTTCAGATACCAAGCCCGTCCCCGCTCAAACTAAACCCGAAACCCTTAGCATGTCTTGTGGTGCAGTTCTGGGGCCCCAGTAAGCAAGCTGGAAATCCAGAAGCTGATCCAGCAAAGTTTAAGGTTTAGGGTTTCGGGTTTAGGGTTTCCCTAAACCCTAAACCCCCTAACCCTAAACCCACTAAAGCCCTGTAACCCCTCCATCCCCAAGGCCCCGACGCGGGATCGACCCCAAGGTACAGTGTCATTACCGCCTGGTTCTTAGAAGGGACTGGTTAGAAGGGACTGGGGGAATGAGGTACCCTACATAATCCCTTAAAGGGGGATATAGGGTACCCCATTCCCTCATTCCCTATTAAGAACCAGAGCGTTCACTATACTACTCGTTCTTGGCAGGGAATATGGGCATTACGGTAGGTAAAATTCGGAGTCCCTTGCAGGATTTATGCGTGCAGGAGGTGGAACCCTATCAACCCGAATCCCTAATGCTCAAACTTCCCATTAAGGGTGTAGCGTTTAGGGTTTAGGGTCTAGGGTTTAGGGTTTAGGGCTTAGGGTTTAGGACTACTGAGGCAGTATGAATACGATCGTCAACAACAAACTTCAAGCTTCGCACTTTTCGCCGAGTAACATGACCCTTTTCTCTTCTTTGGGCTTCAAGGTTCAGGACTTAGGCTTGGGATTTAGGGTAAGGGCGGTTGGGCTCAACAGTGCTCTTCTTCTGGCTCAGACTTAGGGTATTTGGAGTTTAGGGCTCGAACCCAACTCATGAATATCAATTACAGTAGCAACTTTTCGAAAACCTGAAGAAAAACCCTCCTCGATCTTCCCCCAAAGAATGACAACCCTTAGTTTCCTGTAGCAAACTGGACAGCTAGGGCTGATTCATAGCTTCAGGGTAGTTATGCTTGCGGCTTGGGGGTGGGGGGGGGGGGGGTGGATGGCCCTGAACAGATGAAAGCTACCTAAACCCAAACCCTAAACCCCGAACGCTAAACCCTAGGCCCTGAACCCTACGCAGGATTCTTAGGGTTCTTGCCACCCTACATAAACTTAAGCCTTAACCCCAAACCCCAAAACCCTAAACCCGAAACCCCAGGGAGGGGGAAGGTGGTCGCGGTCAACGTCAATGGCTCCAGTCCGCCCAGTGACCAAAGCGAGGCAGGACCTCCGTTTTGTTTTTGAAAGCTCCCCGCGGAGCCCCAATACCTCTTAACTAAGGAAGCGTTTAGGGTTTAGGGTTTAGGATTTAGGGTTTAGGATTTAGGATTAGGGTTTGGGGTTTATTCCTTAAATCCTATGAAAAAGGAAATCATATGAAGGATCCCTGTATAAGACGTATTCCTAATAACAGATTCTTAAATCAGAATGTCGGCTCTCGACAGAATTGAAACAATTATATTCCTTATTTTAGTGGTATTGGTTTATCTGGGTTCTCCACGTGTTAGGGTTTAGGGCTTAGGCCTCAGGGCTTAGGGTTTAGGGCTTCAACTAAGGGGTGAATTATTCTCAGCAGAGTAACACATGACCTGCATAAAGTTTCGGGTTTGAACAGGCCCGTCTTACTTGCAGAGAGGGAGTTCTCCACATTATGTGTTGGGTTTAGGGTTTAGGGTTCAGGGTTGAGGGTTTAGGGTTGAGGGTTGAGGGTTTAGGGTTTAGGGTTTAGGGTTTAGGGTTTAGGGTTTAGGGTTTAGGGTGCAGCGGCCCGAGAAGGGCCATAATTGTGAGAACCAAGTGAGTGCCAGGTCGTTCATTTCCATCCGCGCGAGCTGGAAATGCAGAAGGCTCTGACTGTTGTGTAGGCTTCTCTTCCAGGGGTAGAGTGACCTTGGTGCAGAACAGGGGTGTCCCGATGGTTTTGTAATATCTGCGCCCGCCCACCCCGAAACCTGAGCGGAGAAGGACACCCTTGGGGAGGGACCCTAGGATCCAACTACCCTCAAAAGGGTTTAGGGTTTAGGGTTTAGGGTTCAGGGTTTAGGGTTTAGGGTTCCCCAGCCCAATTTCAGAATCGCGGCGCGACTCTTTCGCATGAAATGACCCCGGGCAGGAGAACTACCCAGCTAGGCCTCAGAGTATGTGGGCCGTTGTAGTTCCCTTTTCTTTGTGTTTAGGTTCCCTTATGAGCCCCTTTAGACCAGAAAAGTGCGCCAGAAAAGTGCACCTTTTCTATCCCTAGAAGGAAGGCCTTAACTGTTCGGTAGCAGCTCTCTCTCTCTCTCTCGCGCGTCTTTTGCGTGTAGACAGGTTACTCCAAAGCCGCAAAGAACCCTTAACCTCTGTAAGCCCTAAACCTTAGACCAATACGGCTGTTTCTGTTGCTGGCATCCAGGAGTGTATAGGCCACACGAATCTTTCGTTCATTCGGGTCAGTGTGGCACAGCTCTCAGCAACCCAAGGTCCTAAACCCTAAACCTGTATTCCCCCTTATACTAGCAATCCTTCATGGGGATGATCATAGAGGGTACGAGAATCCCCTATTATCCTAGTCGTAGAGTAGGTAACCTTTAACCTTTTTGGGGTAGTAGAATCCCCTTAGAATCCCAAAGGTTAACCTTTAAGTCCCCCAGGTTACTGGACAACTAGGTTATAGACTGTTAGTATCTAACCCTAAACCCTAAACCCTAAACCCTAAACCCTAAACCCTAAACCCTAAACCCTAAACCCTAAACCCTAAACCCTAAACCCTAAGCCCTAAGCCCTCAACCTACATAGAGGGACTTAGGGGGGCTTGTAAGTACTGTTACAATTGGGCGTATAAGTACCCGGAACCTCCAAGTATAGGGCGACCCCCGAACTCAACTTCTGGAGGAAGTGGCCGCCCCGCAGAAAGCCAAGCGCTGGACCAGACCGTAGAGGCCACGCAAAGCTGCCCAAGGTGTTTAGGGTTGAGGGTTTTACGTTTAGGGTTTAGGGTTTAGGGTTTAGGGTTTAGGGTTTAGGGTTTAGGGTTTAGGGTTTAGGGAATGTTCTGCACGTTCCATGCAAGCTCTCGGAATCCTCTGAAAACCCTAAGCCCTGGAATCCTGGAGCCCTAGACCCGACACCCCATAGAACCCTTGGGGTTTAGGGTGTAGGGTTTAGGGTGTAGGGTGTATGGTGTAGGGTTTAGGTCCAGAGTCGCAAACCCACCCATCCCTGCACACAGTGGGCCGTTTTGGACACTATGTGCGAGTGCCAGCAGCTATGTGCGAGTGCCAACAGCTTGCCATAGTCAACGCCCCAGATGGGGGGTTGTTCTAACGGACGTTAAGGGCTTAGGGTTTAGGAGTCCCGACAACGGAGAATGTTTAGGGTTTAGGGTTGAGGGTTAGGGTCTAGGGTTTAGGGTTTAGGGTTTAGGGTTGAGGGTTTAGGGTTTCGGGTTTAGGGTTTCGGGTTGAGGGTTTAGGGTTTAGTAAGGCTTGGCTTGACTTGGGCGACAGGTACTTTGAAAGCTGCCACATGGGCTCCATCGAAGCCTTGATGTGACGAACATGGCGACGCTTGGCACAAATGCTTAATTTAGGGTTTAGGGTTTAGGGTTAGGGTTTAGGGTTTAGGGTTTAGGGTTTAGGGTTTAGGGTTTAGGGTTCAGGGTTTTGTGTATTGAGTCTGGCCCAATCCCCCTTAATTAAGGAATATACCCTACATTATATAGGGATCCTGAATATGATTTGAGGTACGTTCTTTAAGGAAGGGATTTAGGGCTCTTTTTGGCCCTATGCCCGTGGGTGTCAGGGTGACGGCGAGGATGGCAAAGTCCATCGCCTTGCAAGTTGATAGGCTTAGTGTTTAGGGTTCAGGGTTCAGGGTTCAGGGTGTAGTATTTAGGGTTTAGGGTTTAGGGTTTAGGGTTTAGGGTTTAGGGTTTAGGGTTATTGTTTTTTCCTAGGTTCCTCTTGAGGTCTAGGAAGATAAGTCCTTATAAGAGCATCAATCCTACCATTACTATCCTAATAGACCGCCCAAGTAGGAAGACCGAACCCATTCGCGTGCTTTGTTGAGGCTGTTGTGTCTCGATTTTCACAGCCATGGCCATCAGGCAAGACGGGCAGAAGGAAACCCTGGACCCTAAACCCTAAACCCTAAACTCAAACCCTAGACCCTAACCTGGGCCTAAACCCTAAACCCGAAGCCCTCAGACCCCTGCGAAGGTGGAGATGGTCTCCGCGCAATGCGGCGAAGTTCTTGCACGTTGCAGACCACCATCCTTGGCAGAAAGGCTGCCCAGCAGAAATACAGACTCGGAATGATTGTTAGTATCTTTCCCTTATGGTCCCTATATAAGTATACTAGAATAACTCACACGGGTTCGTAGGGTTCATAGGGTTTAGCGTTTAGGGTTCAGGGTTCATAGGGTTTAGGGTTGAGGGTTTAGGTTGAGGGTTCCCTCACAAACCTCATGAAGTATGAAGGGGTTTGCGGTTCAGGGCCTATAGGGTTTAGCAGCACTTGGTTCACAGAGATTTGGACATGTGGTAGCTTCAGCGGCATATAGAATACAAGTAGTACGTAAATATTTTACTACGATTATAATAGTATTATCATATCAGTACTACAATAACTGACAATAACAAGATAATATTGATAATGATAATAGTAACTCTAATAGTACTAATCAGACTTATAATAATGATGACAGAAGTACAGTGCTATCATAATAAAACTATTTATAATACTCCAATCGTTCTATACGAGTACAACAAGGATGGATTCCCAGCAGCAAGCCTCAGAGCTTCCCAAGCGCCTTTTGCATCGAGCTTTCGAACTTTCGAGTGCCCAACGGAGGCCCGGAGGGTTCAGGGTTTAGGGTTTAGGGTTTAGTGTTTAGGGTTTAGGGTTTAGGGTTTAGGGTTTAAGGTTTAGGGGAAGATTTAGACATGGAGACCCGAAGCTTCAAGCAAGCCTAATCTTAATTAAAGTGAAAGTCGAGCTATCGTTGAGCTTCGCAGCAGCTGTATAGAGTCGCAATAGATCCTACTGGACTGGTCTTGACATTTACCATGACTTGGACGTAGGAACAACAATCCCATAGCTACTACAGATCTTGCTCGCATAGTGTTCATCCGTTTGGGATTCATAGTAGGGGACCCAAATTTAGGTTTCGAGCAGGTTTTGTACTGGCAGGTTCCCCAAGGCTCAAGACAAGCTGGGGCGACTGTGCAATGCAGACTGCTCCAAGTGATGGGGCAAGCCGTTGGCAGGACCGTGAGCTTCCGGAGTCTGCAGGGCTTGTCGTGCGAGCTCTACGTGGACGCTGCAGACAAGGTGCAGGATGTGGCCGTACAGGTCTCGGACACGGTCGGTCGCAAAGCAGGTCGGCGGGCCGTGCTAGTTCTAGACGGCACTGTCCTGGATGAAACCCGCCCGCTTCTGCATCAAGTTCAAGGCAATGAAGTTAGCTTTGTGTTTCAACAAATCGGTGCAGGTCGGGCGGCAAGGGCTTGGCACAAAGCGCAAGCAAAGCAAGTGTTGAACCTCCAGGATAGGGAAGCCCTCGATGCAACAGTGTCCTTGATTGTCAATACGGTCAGTGGGCCGCCCAACCAGGTCAACCAGAGCTTGGCAGGAGTCCAGCTGCCCACTAGTCTGCAGACCTTGACCTTCGGATTTATTTTCAACCAGAGCTTGGCAGGAGTCCAGCTGCCGACTAGCCTGCAGACCTTGACCTTCGGATACAAGTTCAACCAGAGCTTGGCAGGCGTCCAGCTGCCGCCTAGCCTGCAGACCTTGACCTTCGGCGTTGACTTCAACCAGAGCTTGGCAGGAGTCCAGCTGCCGACTAGCCTGCAGACCTTGATGTTCGGCAACACGTTCAACCAGAGCTTGGCAGGAGTCCAGCTGCCGAGTAGCCTGCAGACCTTGACCTTCGGCTACAACTTCAACCAGAGCTTCGAAGGAGTCCAGCTGCCGACTAGCCTGCAGACCTTGACCTTCGACTGGAACTTCAACCAGAGCTTGGCAGGAGTCCAGCTGCCGACAAGCCTGCAGAGCTTGACCTTCGGCGACGACTTCGACCAGAGCGTGGAAGGAGTCCAGCTGCCGACTAGGCGGCAGACTTTGACCTTCGGAAACGGCTTCAACCAGAGCTTGGAAGGAGTCCAGCTGCCGACTAGCCTGCAGGCCTTGACCTTCGGCTATTTTTTCAACCTGAGCCTGGCAGGAGTCCAGCTGCCGACTAGCCTGCAGACCTTGACCTTCGGAAACGGCTTCAACCAGAGCTTGGAAGGAGTCCAGCTGCCGACTAGCCTGCAGACCTTGACGTTCGGCAAAGATTTCAACCAGAGCTTGGCAGGAGTCCAGCTGCCGACTAACCTGCAGACCTTGACCTTCGGCGATTACTTCAACCAGAGCTTGGCAGGAGTCAAGCTGCCGACAGGCCTGCAGACCTTGATGTTCGGCAACAATTTCAACCAGAGCTTGGCAGGAGTCCAGCTGCCGACTAACCTGCAGACCTTGACCTTCGGCGAGTACTTCAACCACAGCTTCAGCGCCCGCTTGGAAGGAGTCCAGCTGCCGGCTAGCCTGCAGACCTTGACCTTCGGCGACGGTTTCAACCAGAGCTTGGCAGGAGTCCAGCTGCCGACTAGCCTGCAGACCTTGACCTTCGGATACAAGTTCAACCAGAGCTTGGCAGGCGTCCAGCTGCCGCCGAGCCTGCAGACCTTGGACTTCGGCTACGACTTCAACCAGAACTTGGCAGGAGTCCAGCTGCCGACTAGTCTGCAGACCTTGACCTTCGGATACAAGTTCAACCAGACCTTGGCAGGAGTCCAGCTGCCGACTAGCCTGCAGACCTTGACCTTCGGCTACAACTTCAACCAGAGCTTCGAAGGAGTCCAGCTGCCGACTAGCCTGCAGACCTTGACGTTCGGCGCTGACTTCAACCAGAGCTTGGCAGGAGTCCAGCTGCCGACTAGCCTGCAGACCTTGACCTTCGGCGTTGACTTCAACCAGAGCTTGGCAGGAGTCCAGCTGCCGAGTAGCCTGCAGACCTTGACCTTCGGCGAGGACTTCAACCAGAGCTTGGCAGGCGTCCAGCTGCCGACTAGCCTGCAGACCTTGACCTTCGGCTGGAACTTCAACCAGAGCTTGGCAGGAGTCCAGCTGCCGACAAGCCTGCAGACCTTGACCTTCGGCGTTGACTTCAACCAGAGCTTGGCAGGAGTCCAGCTGCCGACTAGCCTGCAGACCTTGACCTTCGGCGAGGACTTCAACCAGAGCTTGGCAGGAGTCCAGCTGCCGACAGGCCTGCAGACCTTGACCTTAGGCCGCGGCTTCCGGAGCGTGGAAGGCATCCAGCTGCCCAGCAGCTTGGAAACCTTCAGCTGCTGTACGTTCGCTGTTTCGCTTCTGTCTGTTTGAACGAGACATCGGTTTTCGAGGCACAGTCCAAATCGAAGTATAGCGCTGCCAATGAGAGAGAGAGAGAGATGGTCTCAAAACCCTAAACCCTAAACCTAAACCCTAAACCCTAAACCCTAAACCCTAAACCCTAACCGTCGCAAAACCTCCTGGCCAAGGGTTTAGGGTAGAGGCATCGGGTCACCAGAGCAGCGAGTCACGGCCTCCGTTGATTTAGGGACCTTGGCCCCAAGCCCCTCACGCCTAAACGCCGTCCAACACCCCTAAACCCCGGAACCCAGAACCGCCAAAGCCTAAGCCTAAAACCCTAAACCCTACACCCTTAAAACCTTAAACCCCCAAACCCTACACCCTGAACCCCAAAATTTCCAAACTGCAACCGTAGGGGATCTATTGCTTTGAGGATTTGGGGTTGAGCGGGGGGGATTCGGGGGTATAATGCTTGTGGCAGGCTTCATAGGTCGAGGGTTTTTAGAGTTGAGGGTTGAATGGATTTCAGGTTCAGGGGC